CCAGTCCATCTCTTCTAGTTTTGAACTTGCCCATCCCCAGAGATCCATGCGATTTATGACCAGTTCTTATGAATACTATCCTACTCCCAAAGCCTTTTGGCAGTTCTTAGTTCCATCTCTCCTAACGTTTGGAGTATTCTTGCCTCAAAAAGGCAACCCTGCATTAAAGTCAATAGTCCTCACCAATTTTCCAGCCTTGTGAGGATGGAGGTACCTCTTCGAGTCACTACTACTAGGCACATCTAGGGGACATCCTTTTAAAGAGTACACGAAAATTCATGCTTGAAATTTCAAGATTTGACTAAAGTATGGTTAAAAACAGCCTGCTGCTGCCCAAGGTCAGTGGTTCAGGCTGACAGTATGGGGTGGACAGGGACAAGGTCACAGCTATCTCTTGACCCTCAGTAATTCCCCCAAGTGGCTGCTGAGAACCATCTTGCTCCTCAACATCACAGCCCATACAATGACCAGGCTGACCGAGCTTCAAAGCTCTGTAAACATGCTGTGGCTGAAAGAGCACTAGAGCCTGAATGGCAGGAGTGAGAGATTAGAGACAAGACTGTCAAACCCCAAAGGGCCTTGAGGACTGCGTTGTGTGTCATGAGACCTGGCCGCTGTTGATTTTCTTGTGTTGCTATGGGCAGATGATCAGCGCTATCTCGACTTTGGGCGTCAGCACATGGAGATACACCAGGCAGTTGGATGAGAGTGGCTTTCCCAGCTTAGAAATATTTTCCCAGGAAAATGGAAAAGGGAAAGGGACTGGAACATTAAGTGAAAGAGGAAATGGAACTGACCAATAGGCAGAGAGGCCAGAGTCAGCTCACCCCTTAATTTGCAGTTTTAAATTTTCAATAAATATTTTTCTTAACTTGGGGCCTTTTAAAATTTTCACCAGCTGATCAACACCAGCTGTTATCAGATGCTATAAATCTCTCTGCCTCTTTGCAAGAGGTGACAGGAAAGTACCTTTCTGCTCTGTTATTGTTCTTAGGTTGTGATTCTCATAGCCTGGAGGGATCCCAATGTCCCCATAAATGCCCTGGGCCAGGTCCTGGTGCACCTTCTCTGAAGGCCAAGAACCTCTATATCTAGCGAGAAATCTCTGTACAACTGGAACTGCACCACAAAATCTTCCCAGAGAAACCCTGGGGGAAAAGCAGAGGTCAGAAGCATTATGAAAGTAGGGAGGCTTCTTTATTGAAAGAAGACTGTTCTTGTCCCACATTTGGTGTATGACTTGTACCTCCAGTAACCAGGGCCATGAGCCGGCATCATCAAAGAGAACTTTCATAGTTCTTGGGAAGCAACATGGTGTAATGGAAAGAACAAGGGCTCTGTCAGATGGTTCTGATGAATCTCATGATCCCTTGTACTCATTTCCATTGCAGGTTCTGGAATAAAATGAACATCATGCCAAGGAAACATGGAATGTAGACATACCTTAATAGGGGTCACAAACTCAAATTCTACATGGGCCAGGCAGGAATGTCAATGTGTGGGGCTGAACTACAGGGCCAAAGAGGAAGTGCACGCTCCTCCGGGGGAGGTTTCGTCGACTGAGTGTCCATGGGTGTGTGCAAACAAGGAGTGCCAGAATGCAAAGATCACCCTACAACCCAGCTGCTGTACCTTGTGTGTTTGGCCACAGGTGAGCCCTAACAGTAATAAGGCTAAACTGAAAGCTGTGGCATAGGACCAGCCCCCAGCCAGTCCTTGTGCAACCGCTGGTCTCCATTGCCTGTCTCACTTTACCCAAAACACAAAGCACAACCCTCCTCCATTTTAGATTTAAAAAGTTACACTTCAACATGCACAATGAATATTCAGCCATAGGGAAAGATCAAGTTTCACCATTGGCCATGGAATAGAAGGAACTGGAGGGGATTAGCCAAAAAGATGATTTTGCATGTATGAGTAACTTAAGGAAACAAAGCAAATGAACTAACAAAGCAAAATAAAAATAAACTAGTGCACATGGGTAGCCTCTGCATGACAGTTACCAGAGGTGACGGAAGGGGGAAAAGTGTAGGGAGTTATATATAAGGAAGGGATGGTGGAGGGTATTTTGTTTATGCCCTTTTTCTTATTTATGTATTAATTTTGAAAGATAAGGAAAAGCTACACTTCACTGCACAAAAAGATGTTACTTCTTGTTTTGTTAGGGGAGCAATGGGGAGCTCCAGGGCCATGGCAGTGGTGAGCCAGACCATCCTTGGGAACCTGACTTACATTACAAGCTCCCCTAAACTTGTCAAACCTATAGATTTTTGACCACCAGCTTCTCTTGTACACCCCCCTCTTTTCCATGAGTTTCCTTCTAGCCTTGACTCCCTTACCCCCCAAATCCTGCAATTGTTGCAGAAGATATCATTATCTCCCCCAGCTCCCGCCACCTCGATTTCAACATGGCGGGCTCAGCAGCGTGGAGAGAGATTGCCAAACCCCACTCTCTGAGTTCCCATCTAAACTCTATATCCTAGTTTCAGAGGTCTAAGCCGAGTTGAATCAAGCCTATCTTGATTCTTTTAACCTGGTCAGCATTAAATCGGATACTTTTGGAGAATAACAGTGACTTGGCACTGCAAGAAAGCTCTCTGACCAAATCCTTGACTGAGGCAGAAACCTATTCTCTGCGTGCTGTTTATTCAGGGGGAGCACAGCTCAGATGTGGCCTCAGGTTGGCTCAGGAGTTGTGGCTTTGCCCAGGTTTGCAGCTGAAGACCGAAAAATAGAAGGTTCTCAAGGCATCTTCCCAAAGGCTCCCAGTGAGTGGTCGTGCCTGGATGGGGATGTAAGAATCAGAGCTCTCCTCCAGGTCAGCCGGGCTCTCTAACCACTAGACCACACAGCCAGTGTTTAACGTGCACTCAGCAAACCTCAAGTTCCAGGCCTGAAGAAACAGATTTTCCAAAAACAGAGCTCTCTTTGTGAACAATTCAGCAAAAATTCTCTTTCCAGCTGTGAGTTAGGATTCATGTTGCAAATGCTGGTGTTAATTAAAAACATCCACCTTCTACAATTTCAACAAGAGAAAAGCACCACTCAATATGTATTCCTAAGCACTCCTCCCCAAAGCACTTAAAAATATGATTTTCTTTCTGACATAGGCTGCTGGGGGTTCTGACGTATAGTATCATTCCTAATTTTCTGCCCCAACAAAAGAGTTGGGACCAAGGTACTAGATGTGATGAGCCCAAATTGGCCTGGATCAAAATTAGTGTCTGAACAGAAACAAGAACAGTGTTTCTGTCCTGGGGATGAACTGAAACTCAGCTTTTTATGTCAACAGCAAAAATTTTACCTAGTTGAAATCAAATGTGGATCTGCTGAGCCATTAAAAGTTGTCTTCACATGGCCATTAATCTTTCAGCATAAACAAGGTGAGGTAACAAAGCCAGGGACATTCCACCAAGGATGACACCATCCATCCAATAACTGGGATGTAAGATTATAGCCTCCCCCCGCGTATTCCTAGTGTGGTTCTCACTTTACCCACATCTGAAATGATCCAGGGTCAGTGAGATCAGCCAGATGGAGCTGCATTTCTTTGTGCTCCTGTCTCTGGTTGGTTACTTTGTCCTGTCTTCACACACGAACCAGAAAAAGAATTGAGTCCAACCCACATCATTATGAATGAATTTCTTTGTTTTTAATCTCACACAGTTTAAAATACAATATGAAATCAGGCTACAGTATATAAAAAACTCTCCAGCAAAATGATGTGCCAGCATCAGCTACTAAAATAAACGAACAAAAACCTCCCGAGTAAGAAAATTTTTTTGCATTAAAAAAAAACATATAGACACTTACATCGCTACATCTCTAAGCTACCTCAGTTCTGATTTTTTAAAAAGCACCTGCTTTTCCTTTTTCATCTTGCTTTTAAATTTTCAGCTTTTAAAAAATATAAATTATATGAAAATACAAGTTGGAAAATAGTCAAACACAATAAAACATCTTTTTTTTTAAACCCCTGTACTTCTCAGCTTAAAAAAAAGTATTCTTAAAAAAAGTTCAATAACTGAGGCAGTATTCCTGATAGAGATTATTTCCTTTTAATATATATTTTATATATGTATATGTATACATATATTTATGGTTCCTTGAAACTTCTTTGGAATGTAGAGAAGAGTTCAACACATTTATATAGACCCCAACGAGAAAGCAGCATGCACAGCATGACTAGAATAGAAAAGGTGTGATTTTCACCACGAAGATTAGGCAGGTTAATGCTCTAAAACCCAGAGTGTTGATCTCCAAAGTGAGGAAAAGCACATCTGATCTTTGAATGCTACCTCCAATCCCCCACAGCCACAAAACCAGGGAAGTTCCTCCCCTGAATGGAGGCGGGAAGCAAAGTGCCTCTGAACCCTACAGCCAAAACCGACATGGGTTAAGGCATCTCCAGGAAACTAAGGGTTTCACCCAGCTAAACCAGATTTGCCCATCCTTCCTCTGAAGTTAGCATGTGTTTTTAAAAAGCATAAATGCAACAATTCTGCTACATTTCCAGTGTATAAACCACTCACCACTCTTCCTGGGATGGTCTCTGGCCTTTGGACAGAAGGAGAAAAAAGCATCTGGCCAGAATGACAAAGCTATCTTCATTAATACACTATCTACAGATACTGAAAATGGCGGACTTAGAGAGAAAGGGCATCTTAGCAAACAGCAGGCTGAGGAGCATGAGGAGGCACTTTCTTATGCTTATCTGCTACGGAATTACTGAAGGAGTTACGCTCACACAAGGGGAGTTTTCGGCATAAATTGAATGGGGTGGGTGGATGAGCTGAGAAAGCGATTTTATGCCTGGTTGCAAAAGCAAGCAATGGCCAGTGTCCGGCCTTGGTTTAACTGTTGCCCATTACTGAAATGTGTAAAGACTTAACTAGAAAATTCAGGTATGATGATGTTAGCTGCAGTTCTGCATGTCTGTAGACACACACACACAGACACACACACACACACACACACACACACACACACACACACTTTCCCAGTGCCCAAAAAAGATCACATAATCTAAGAGAAAACAATGTAGTTCAAACAGTTCCACCTACCACTCCCTGAGCTGCTCCTAAAATATTCTGAGAGCTTTGTTAAGGCACCTGCATCTGAAAGAAGATCAAAACACACTGCTTTTGCTTTCCAAGTGGACATTCCAATTCATCAGAATGAGGAAACTCAGATCACAGAACCAACCAAGTTCCTGACAATTCAGGATCTGCAAGAAGACCTGGAAGGACACAATCCACTTTCTTGAAGATGAGCTAGAAGGTAGTTAGTACTCCAGCTTCTCAGCAGGAGCCCAAGAAAGCCTAGCCCTGAGAAGCCCATTTTAAATACTTCACCTCTTTCACAAAAGTCCTTAAAGCCGCCCCTCTGTTCTCATCTTCCCAATAAAACATCCTAATAATGGGAGAGGGGAGGCAAGGTTGGGATGACTGTATTAGGCACTTTTCCTCACTAGTAGATGCCGTTCCCCTCATACCCCATTTTCAGATCACCCTCACAACCAGCAGGAAGACAATGACCACCAATGACTATGTCTGTTTAAACTTTGGGGGAATTAAAATTATATTCAAATCTCATGGACCACCTTACTTTCTTCACTCCAGCTCCCTTGTATGTTTCCTTTGCCTTCAAGCCATTCCTCTCTTCTGCAGTTATCAATCTTCACTCTCCCTGTGATAAGATCGCACAACAAGTGTGAGGCCCTAATTGCTACTACACTATTCACTCTGCATACAGTCTCACGTGACATCCCACTTAGCTGGCTTAGTTCTTCAAAGGAAAGTCTTGCTTCTCCAAAGGACAGGGAAGCCACATTTTATTTATATGCTCCCTTAGTTTCCACTGTTCCCCAAACCCTGTAAGTCCAAACGGCTTTACCAAACACATTTCAATTCACGTCATGTCAGCAGTTATTCTTTTTTTCCAAACCAATCAGAAAGCTGCACACTTCTCTCTCCTGTAAATAGAGTGGTGGAAAGCAATAAGTGCGGGGATGCCAGGAAAATAAGCTGTAATGGACAAAGTGTAGGGTGTTTGGAATGACATGCATTCAGGACTTATTTCTGAAGATGTAAGGGTAATGCCCTTGTATTTCCAAGCCATATAGGTTATAGGTAGAGAACCAATAAAGAACCAAACCAATCTTCCTCCTTTGATTTCCTCTCTGGGACTTCAACAAGTGCTCCTACATTTACTGTGGTCCAAAACCAAGGCTGAAAAAATACATTCAGTTCAAAGACTTAATGCTTCTTAGCTCAACGTTAAGCCCAAACCCCGATAATCCACTGATGACAAATAAGTAGAGGGGTGTGATAACAATCTTTAAAAAAATTATAGATGAAATTCACATGCACAGTTCCCTTGTACCCAAATCAGCATTGTTTTTTCCTTCATATATAAGTCACATGAATTTGGGATCCCCAATCTCCGTGACAGCGCTTTGCATTTCCAGTGGGGTCTATATAAACAGTTTCTTTCACTGTGACAGAATCCTCAGCCGGCAAATAAAACAAACTTGCATGATACAATACTGAGACCACCTTAGAGCTTAAGACGATTTTTAAGAGAAAAAAAAATACTGGCACAAAATTTAATAAAATAAATTTTAACACAAAAACAGTTTTGGCCCCTCCCCACTGAAGTCCATCTTTGTTTGGAAAGTAGAGTAAAAGGTCCTTGGGTTCTAGTGCATCCCCCAGACACAATGTTTTATCCCACCTCCTGCTTTTTTTTTTTGTCCTTACCAGACCTAAAAACAAAAGCAAATTAATTGCCTCTCATTCATCTCAAGCCTCCTGATGTGTAAATTCCTTTTGCTAATAGGTCCACAACTCAATACCCTGGATGATTTTTACAAACTGATTGAACACGTTAGTCACCGCCTCCCTTAAGCCAGACGCATCTGGCCTCTAAGAACACCTTTCTCTGTCTTGTGAAAGTTTGCTCAAGAATTTCTTGTTTCACCCACCCCACAAATCCTTGCTTTCGTTTTACAACTGAGCACAATCGATAATAGCTGCAGCTCACTTAGCTCCCACCCCTGAACGTAAAAACGAGTTCTGGAAAATTAAAAATAGAATAACATTTAAAAATTAAGAGTCTGAACGCCGTGGCTGTTCTTTGAAATGTCTCAGCATAGCTTTCCTGACCCCTTGGGTGTCCGTCACTCGTCGGCATCGGGCTTGACGTCCAGCATGGCATGCAGCTCCTCGGGTGTGTACCCCAGCAAGCTCTGCAGGTCGCACACGAAGCGATACACGTAGCGTTTACCCGCTGTCTTGTGGATGATGTTTTTGTCATAATAGTAGCGTAGGCCACGGCTCAGTTTCTCATAATTCATCTTAGGTTTGTTTTTCCTCTTTCCCCATCTTCTGGCCACCTGAAAAATTTTTTTTAAAAAGGGGCAAGGAGTGAGGAAAGGTCAAATTCTATAGAAGAATCCAACATCACATGTTTTATGCCTATACTCACTCATAGGCATCCCAGGTGTACAGGTAAGACAGTCAGAGATTCATGGACTTGGAAGATGTTTTTCTGGCCTATATTCTGAATTCTACTTTTCAAGAGTTGGTCAAGAAGGGCAGTCAAGTTGATTCTTTATGTTGATTAAAACACAGAACCCCTCAACTTCTATGTAATGGAGTAACTGACATTGAAAATAAAGAAAAGCACCACTCTCTACCCTCCCTTTTCCCTATATTATTAGGAATTAGTAGGAAGTCTTTGTTTTGAAAGTAGGAAATACAGTGTGAGGGGCTGGCATGGTCCCGAGCTACAATCAGATGTGCCTTTCATCACAGGGCCCCTTTTCATTCTGTTCCGGGGCACACAGTCCTCTCGCGTCTACCAGAACAGAGATGCTGTTCCCTCTTGCTCGTTTATTTTATCCTCAGAAATGGCGTGGCACCAAATTACCACTCAATGACCATTGTGGAATAAGAGAATGAATGAATGAACAAATCATACCAACCCTCCAAGGCCTGTTGTATTGTAAGACCCCACTCAGATTCACAGAGCCAGGGCGCCAGAAAGAGGCCAAGTCAGAGAAGGCAACTCATATTTATTGTGGGCCTACTATGTGCCAGGGCCAGGACTTCAGGTGCCTCCTATCAGTTAACTCCAGAAAACAGGTGGCATAGATATTTTCTCATTTTCCAAATGATGAAACTGAGGTTCAGACAAGCCACTGTCTGAACGGTCATTCCAAATCACCTAAGTAGCAGGGGCGGTGCTGGAGTTCAGATTCTAGAAAATGTCACCCAGGCCCACAAGCTCCCCTTCCAGTGTTCTCGCTCATCCTCCCTCTGCAGTCCTATGGAGTCACTCCCCGCTTACCTCATCTGGGTCAGAGAGCTTGAATTCCCAGCCATCTCCTGTCCAGCTGATAAAAGACTGACAGGACTTATCAGTGAGTAATTCCAGAAGAAACTGCCACAGCTGGATTGGTCCACTGCCTGGAAACACAAGGCGTGTGAATCATTACACAGGTGCTCAGCACTCAGGCAAGTGACACTGTGATACAACGCTCAGGAGCACTCCTCTGTGTTAGGGAGCCTGCTCTGCAAGTGAGAAGTCATTGGGCAGATGCAGAAAGGACAGAACTGGACTTCAGTGGTGAACCCAACATAGTAAGTACACATGCTGGCTTTAATGATGCATACCTGAAACTGATATAAGGTTATCAGGCAAAGTTATTTCAATAACAAAATTAAACTTAAAACGAAAGCAAGTCTATTTAGAAATGGTATATGATTTTTCTGCTGGAAAAATGGAATTAATGAAAAGCAACAGCATGAGGCTTGGTGACAAAAGAGCTTAGCTGAACAAATGCAAAATGATCATACACCCCCTGAGGAGCCCTGAAGGGAAACACACAGAAAAATCTACCCTAAGACTATGTAAATCCTGGATCAAGATCACAGACAAGAGACAGAGACAGATACACATACATGCACACGCGCGCGCGCACGCACACACACACACACACAGTGAGAGAGAAAAGAAAGAGAACACCCTTGGAGAGAATAATACGAACAAGAGCCGTGATTTAATGTTCACCTACTATGTACCATACACACTAGATGCCTTATAAAAAGTCTTCTCACTTTTTGCTCACAATAACTCATGCTATAGATACTATTGTCACCCTATTTGTTATGCTCATTTACAGCGGAGAAAATGGACTCACAGAGTGTCTTTGTAACCTGTCCAAAGCCAATCAATTTAGAGCCGAGCAGCCAGGCGGAAACCCAGGCAGTCCTCATCTTGGCACTACACTGCCCCTAAGCAAGACCAGGATAGAGCCCCATCCAAGCGGCCTGCCTGGGTGTCGGGATCCAAGCAATAGCAGAACAAGGCTTTTAAAGTCAACTTCTCTTCCACCGCTCATGGCAGCCATGAGGCATCTCAGCTAGACTGGTTCTCCTGGCCCCTGACCACTAGCGACCTCGTTGTCCACCTCTACATATCATATTTCCAGTTCAGTTGGTCAGGCCCCTTGTAATCCCTGCTAGACTATGTTACCTCACCATTCCTCACTCCCACTATTTACCTTAAAAACCCCTCTCACACTATTTATCTTAAAATTCCTTTGGAGGGTAGGGGGTTAATTACAGCAAGGTGAGGAAAGGGAAGGAAATATCAGGATTCTTCTTTCCAGGCAAGTCCTGGTCTTGGCAGGGAGCAGCCCACATGAGGCCAGAGAGGAAGGCCCAGAAGAACACTACAGCCCTTGCCTTTTTTTTTAAATTAATTTATTTATGCATGCAAGAGCTGGGGTACAGACCAGAGGTGTGGGGGGTAAGAGGATTCACCAGAGACAGTGGGGAACAGAACAGGCAGATCTACTGAAATACACTGCTGAGGGGAGCAGCGGACCAGTCAGAAGTCTGCTGCACCATGTGGGTTGCTCCCTGGCTGGGGATTGAACTCGTGCTGCAGAGGCAGCAAACAGCTTCATAGGTTGCGTCTTAACTCCTTGCACCACCAGGGAGGCCCTACAGCCCTTGCCTTTGACTGTGGGCAATCATAAAGTACAGAAGACAGCTTCAATTCATGCTGTAGGAACCAGCTCATGGAGGAAGAAATCCTGGATGGAATTATTACTGCGATTTTTCCTGCTGGTACCATTTCCCCAACAGCAACGCCAGGCCCACAGGCTCCCTATGCCCCACAAGCCTTTCACTGTGCGGATCTGGCCTGGGGGCTATGGGCATCCTTGTCTGCAGATTTATTTTTTCTCATTATGAATTTTCTTTCTTCATAAAGAATATAAAGCAGAAATTCAGGAACTGAGGACACAGGCCTGGGTGTTGTATTCTCAAACTCTTTACCCACTTCTACCAGAAGGAAGAAGGAGGGTAGATGAGAAAAGCAGACGCCTAAGGAAGCTCAGGCACACGGATGGGAAGAAAGGTCTGGTTGGCTTCCCAGGAGGAATGTCAACACAGCAGCGAGGTCAGCTCAGATCTCCTGCCCCCAGTTCTTGAAGAGCAATTCAAGGCTGGGGGCCCACCCAGCACTCTCAATGGGTTTTCTGAAAGTCGCTGCTCACCCTTCAGACAGCCCACATTGTGACCAAATGAAAGGAAGCATGATCCCTCCCAGATTTCACCTTCCTACCTCTTTGCTACCCTTTTAGGTCGTGGGGAGTTATAGAAACAGGAAGGTCAGGCAGTTACTCTCATGGGCAGAAATGCAGTGTCAGGACAGAATGCTGGCTTCAAGGCAGGCTTGGGCCCAGGCAGGACTAAGGAGCATCTAACCCAGGAGTCTGTTTCCACAACAACATGCCATCCTCACGTCAGATCAGGGACCTCCAGAGGAGACCCTTCAGATGCTTCAAATTCAAGTCTACCATCTCAATTTTTTTTAAACACAGCTTCAAGTAAATTCCTCCTACTGTTAGTCATGCTTCGAGTCCTTCTCTTTGTCTAGAAACTGGAAGGCCTGCCATCCAGCTCGATGAGCGTTAGTTATTAAACTCCCCCTGCTTTTTCATCCCCCTCTCGCTCTGGAGCTAAGAAGCGAGCAACTTAAAAAATATATATGTATAAAAATGAAGTAGGACAAGGTTTAAGTAAGATGCTCTTGATAACAGTGCCGGAAGCCACAGTTTGGAGTAGCTCTTAGGCTGGAATGCCTGCTGGCTACAGAGACTGGCCAGCAACATCCACATCTGGAGTCGTGGGAAGTTCTTATGCCCCAGACTTGCTGAAACACTGGATGAGGCCAGACCCCCACTTACCAGCTCTCCCAGAGGATGTTTTGCATTGCTTAATTTAAGTCTGCCCAGACCCTCAGGGCTGCAGGGCTCATCCCTGGCCCCTGCTCCAACATATTCCAGAATTGTGAAGCCTCTCCCTCTATTCTCCCTGCACCTCCCCCTCACCCCTGAGCCAGGCCTCTTCCACCCACCCAACTGGACTGTGGTCCCAGTGACCTCTGACCCAGGGAGCAGAGCCTGGTACTAAGAATAGTGCCAGTCATGGGAAGGGGGAGCTCACACACTAAATGTGACTCACAATGGTGCCCCTGTCTGGGGCCCCAAGTCAGTCAACGGCGTCCTTCACCACGCTGCCCCCAGTGTCACACATCAGGAATCCGGTGGCATCACTGGGAAACTATGCCTCTCAAGTGGAAGCTCTGAGCCACAACAACAGAGGGTCCCTGTCACAAGGAAGCCTCTCTCCCAGAAGTACGGGAGGGCACCACACACACACTACACCCCCAACCAGCTCAGCCTCCACACCCCCTGCGGTCCCCTCCCAGCCCTCCCTCACCAGCTGCAGTGGGGAATTTCCTCTCACTGCTTTGCTCTTCTCAGTTTCTGGGTAAGAGAAAAGTTCTTACTATAACACAACTGTCTGGATGTGAAGAACATGGTACAACCTCAGAAGAAGTATCAGGTGGGGACCATCTAGTTCGAAGAGGGTTAATTATTAAAACCACTCTGCCTTTTTGCTCCTGAGTCCAGAAGCGAACAAGTAAGCAACTTAAATAAATACAGAGAAATGGGCTGGGATAAAATTTTCATAAGATACTCCTGATAACAGTCCTTTGCATGTAGCAATCTGTTGGTATCTTTCTTCTCGTCATCCAGGCCTGGCGGTTGTCTGTCCAGGGCAATGAGTTCACGGCCAGTTCCAGGCTGAACTGCTGTTGACTGTCTTTCCTTTCTATTTCAACTGCAAGTTCTCACCCCGTCATCTGTGCCCCAGCGCAAGGCTAACACGTAAGAGTTGACTTCCAAAACAGAAATAGGAGCATGTCTTTCATATTTGTATAGTAAGTCTGCATTTGCTTACCAGCAAAAATTAATTAACTAATTAAGGGGTGGGACTTCCTTGCAGATGGGGGTGAGTGCAAGACAGACACTCGCAAGCAGCCTCCATCATGGTTTGCTTACACCAAACTCAACCCTGATGGTTTAGTCTCTCTCCATTGCTATCACTAGAATCTATGATGCAAGGACAAGGAGCTTTTGTTTTTCACTGCTAACACCCAAAGCCTGGAACAATGCCTCGTCTACAAACCCCAACCATCCAAAAGCTTATTTGTTGTTGAGTTAACTCCAGTTGTTAGCTCCTGACCACAAGGGGCTGTCCATCTTGTTGCTCCTTATATTCTCATTGCCAGGTATGGTATCTGGCCTGGCAGAGATGTTCTCAGAACATTTACTACAGTGTATTACTAAAACAATCCTCTTCTCATTGATGGTGTAAGGATTTTAAAAGTTACCCCAACTGTTTATCTCTCTATTAAGCTATATTTGGACCCAAACAATATGGGTGACTCCCAGGCTATGTTTTATCAACATGTGCCCCAAAATACCCCAAAACGACCACACCTCCTGTCCTTTGGGGACTGATTTGCTACTTTGAGATGCTAATCACTTTAGCTTGACTCTAAAACAGTCAAATCAGATACCTCAGTGTGGGCAGGACACCACATTTAACCTATGAAACTCTCATGGTTGGTCACCCTTGCAACAGGGCTGACTCTGCCCCAAAAGCACCCATCTGGCAGGTGGGTCCCAAAACAGAGGAACGAGTCCAACTGGCCCCTCCTTTCCACCCAGGTGTCTCTACCCACAGCCAAACCATGAGGGCAAAAAACAGAATACTAGAATCCAGAAATGATCCATCTGGTCACAGTCTCTCTTTCATTCCACTTTAGTAGCACTCACTTCTGGTGTGGAATGGGTAACTCCAGTGTTCAAGTAGCACCCCCTTTCTCAATGATCATTCACAAAGTCTTCAAAATCTTTGTATGTCCATTAAGTGCTTAGGAAATGAAACTGAATGGTAAAGAAAACACATCCTTGCATTTTTTTGCTCTCTGGAGCAAATTCAGTCTGAAGCTCAGAGTTTTCTGCCTAGTGATACATCATTCAAGCAACCACAATGCTGGGTGTTTTGGCAATAAAGGTACTGACAAGATTTTCAAAAGAAAA